TCATGTCTTGTATTAACTTTCATCGATATAAATGTTTCTAAAGTTATCTCGTGCAGTATCGTGTACAAAAATATTAAGAAAGTTGGCCGACCATTCTTGGCAAATGTCCGACCAACTGACCAGTTGATCGGACATTTGTCCGACCAAAGCGAAATCGTTATAATCCACACTGCCTGTATATATTGCATAATTATGAGGATAAAATACTGCTGATGGAACTCCGCATCTCCTGGCTATAGCTATGTCTCGCTGTATACTGAAATATGAATAATAATAATAATAACAGTCTTTATTCATACTCAAGAACACCCGTCTGTGAGTTTACATTATAAAAATATATAAGATAAAATTATTGATATCTATAAGGTAATAACTAGATATATACAGTTATGGATAAAAATATTAATAATGTTAAAAGGTAAAGGTTAAAATTGGTTAAACAAAGTTAAACAAACATCGATAAACAAAAGAACTTTTAAATCGCTCTGTTCTCACTAATGGAAGTTCAAACTCGTGTCCCCTTGGCCTAAGGTGTCTATTTAATTTATCTGGTAAAAGCTCCTGTAGTGCATTATCTTTATTATGTATTACTTTATCCCAAAGTTTCTTGTCCCTTTTGATGCTTATCTCCTTAATATTCAATTTTTCCGATATGTAACCATTTCTGTGAGCGCGATTGATGAATTTGTCTATTTGACTAATGTATTTATTGAAGTATGCGCCTCCCCAAAGTTCTATGCCGTAAGTGATTATAGGCATAATTAAAGTGTTAAACAGCATGTCCAGTTGTTTGATTGGGAAGCCATAGTATTTACAGACACGCATTATGTACATTCTTGCGCTGGCTTTTTTCAACATTTCATCAAAATGCAAATCCCACTTGGAAGGGAGATCCTGTAATGTAATTCCTAAAATCTTTAACCACGTCCTTCGTTTAATAAATGGAAAAGGATCAGGCAACAGCGTAGGGATATTTCTCCTAACAATCATTTCATACGTCTTTTCCATATTTAAGGACATTCGATTATTTTCAGACCATGTTTGTATACTGTCCACTTCGGCTTGGGATGTATCTCCGTTTTCATTCCCTGGTACTTCTAATGTCATGTCATCCGCGAACTTAACTAACTGGTTTATGGGGTTAACTGTTTTGATGTCATTCACCATGATCGAAAAGAGGACACGACCCAGAACTGTTCCTTGGGGAACACCTCGATTAATGTTCAAGTATTCAGTTTCCATTCCATCAACCACTACCCTCTGTTTCCTATCCTCCAAAAAACTAATCAGCCAATTAGTAACATATGGGTTGATGGGGAGCTTCTTAAGCTTCTCACATAAAATATCATGTGGAACGCTATCGAATGCTTTGCGAAAGTCAAAAGATAATACTCTGACATATTTTGCATCTCCTTCTAACCATCTTAACCATGTGTGTTGGCACTTGATCAGAGCCATAATCGAATTGTGACCTTCCTTGTATGCAAACTGATCTGAATCAATAGCGTGTCTTGTAACATGTGCTATCTCAGTTTTGAACACACTTCTTTCAAATAATCTCATTATAATATCTGTTAAAGAGATTGGTCTTAGTTGATTAAGAGAGTTTAAGATAGATTCTTTAGGCACTGGTAGTACATTTGCATGTTTCCACATTTTAGGAACTTTGCTAAGTTTCAATGAAGTGTTAAATATATTTGTTATGGTAGGGGCAAGCTCAAATGCAAATTCCTTCCAAAACCAGTAAGGTAGATCATCTGGCCCGGATGCTGTTTGTTTTAGATTTTGTAAAAGGTGTAGAGTAGTATTTATAGAGAGCGAAGGAACCCTGGTGCCATCAGGGATCTCGACAGGTTCTGGAGCCGCGTACTGAGGATCCGAGTTTATACTTTGAAAGTATACATTTATCTCACTAGGATCAAAGGCTGCACTGACAGATCGACTCCGATTATTTCTTCCTGTAATACTGTTCACATTGGACCACCACTGTTTTGATCCGGTTTTCTGATTTTTGTTCTCTTGTTTGACGGCATTTAACTGGTTCTCTCGAATTAGCTTGTTTATCTGGTCTTGTAAACGAGCGTGAGATTCGGAATCGCTCTTCTGTATAGCTCTTTTCTTTTGCTTTAGCAAATGCTTTACAAGGGGTGACATAAACGGTGGGTCACGTGAAGAGGTTCTAACCTTAATTAGTGGGAAGCACTTTTCAAATATCGGCCACATCGTTTCATAAAATTTCAGCGTCATTTCATCTGGAGTTTGCCCATCCTTGGTTATCATATTCCAGTCTACAGTTCCTAATTCATATAACATATTTATTTTCTTATGTTGTCTTACATCTCTAAAATAGGATGAAACATATATACTGCTTTCCAGAGGGTCCAGTAAATATTAAAGTGCTTTATTATCATATGAAACGTTTTATTATACCGTGTATAAATTCCGTTTTGGCTGCAATGCGATCTGTTAAATCAATTATTGTTATTATTATTTATTTTTGAAATTTACTGAAAACTCAACTTTATAAAATACAACATGAAGCTAAATGTAAAGGAGTTCAAAGTCGCATTCACATGGCACTTCACGTGGCTTTTTAATTTTTTTATTATTGATGGTCAACAAAAGTACGGTCGGTGTTAGTAATGATACTAAAATGACCGTACTATAAATACTATTTTCTTAGGAACTTCAGCTAGCTCGGCTTTAGCTCAAGAGGTTAGGCATAAGACAATTTGCTCTACTCCCAGGGTTCAAGTCCCTTCCGGATGTTTTTGTATTTTTCAGTAGCAATTTTACTTAAATTATTTTTCCTGACTAGTTTTAACTTTTTTACTTGCATACGTTTAAAGGATTGGGTAAGGGTTGGGAGTAGGGTCAGTTTACTTTTTAAAAATTTAATTTAGCTCAGAGATTTAGCTATAAATTACAGATTTGGCTGTCGGTCAAATTATGACGTCATGGACATGGTCATGGTACGTTAGTTCGACATGATCTAACACCGACCCAAAAGTACTGTTGCTCGTTTATAGTTATTGCTAAGTGAACAGTAAAATTTCGTTACTCTCACGTGATGCATTTTCCACCAATGAGATGCTAGAAAAAGTGAACTTTGACAATTGGATCGTGCCACCTTAACCTGAGAGATTTTTGTATTTGATTGTCATATAAAGTTTAAGTAATTGTGACCTACTCTCAGACAGATGCAAAAACTCAGGACAAATGAACACAGACACAGTTGTAAACCAGACTTTACATATCACAGATGGATATCTTTATAATATGTACAATTTTTGTACTAATGTTAAAACATTCTAGATGGACCCAGATACAATATGCGGTGCTGACGATAAACTATTGGAAGATCTTGGCTTGTGCGCTAAAGGAGATATCTGTGCTTTGCGCTCATATTGCCAAGGATGGAACTCTTCAAGCACGCCCTCAGGATCATTTACGCAGTCTCCTGAAAGCTGTAGACAAGAACGAAAGCGAAAGCTGATGGCTATTTTGCAGTCTGGCAAGAAAACTAGGCTGAAGCAAAACGTTGCAGAGACTAGTACTAAAAGTAAAAAACCCATGCAACAATGTTGTTACGAGATCTTCTGTACAAATGAAGGAGAAAACAAGACGAATCCAGCTTGGATGGCTACATTATAATAAGAAGGAAGATCGTTACATTCATGTACGGGCAACTAATGGGGGAGGAACTAGAAATATGGAGTTTCCTGCTGCATACACTAAAGACAATGTTCTGCAAGCAGCCATTGGTATCTTTTTCGAAAACGGACAATCTAAGTTTGGTTTTGCAAATGAGATGGAATTTGACCTTGCAAACTTTAAAATGGAGAAAGTGGATGTCTTAAGAGATAACGATGGAGTCGAAAATCCTTTTACCATACAAGGGTATTTTCAGTGTTACAAGCTCTCAAAAACGCGCATATATCTGATGTCAAAAGACAAGACTATCACTGAAGTGACCAACAGTGAGACAGAGGTCGGGTGCGCTATTTGTTTGCACATCGCGGTTTATGCGTCAGAAAAATATGCCACACACATTTGCGTGTGTATGTCATGGCAGAAAAACCGTTTGCTTTTTTTTAGATTTGGAAAATTTAATACACAAATTATGTGCAAGAAATGTACAATAAAGCAATTAGCGTTATTTTATATAAAAATTAAATTATAATTAAAAAGTAATTATATAGATTGTATCTTTGATCATGTTTGCTTTTGTATTTAAGGTGAATGCTACATCAAATGATTTTCCTGCTTGGGATGATTTTTTTGACGAAGAAAACCAAAGTACAGTAGGCGACAGTCCACAAATTTCCTCTCCCATTTTCAACGAACCTACTAGTAAAAGCCAGCTTATTGGCACATCGGAAGAAAGAGCTTCATTTTTCACAGAACTTGAAGGCAAAGTGCGAAGATCGGAATTAGCAGATCAAGAGAAGGCTCGTGAAAACGAAAGGCAGAAAAGAGAAGCAGAACGGCGTGAAGAACTCCGTTTATCTCGGGAAGCAAGAGTTTTTCCTGAAGTAGAAATAGATGATCCAAGCCACATGTTAGTTAATGTACGCCATATTTCTTTTGGTATTGTAACAAGGTCTTTCAAAAAAGAATGGTCAGTCTCTGCAGTATATGACTGGATAGGTTCCATGTCTGCTCAACCAGAGCGTTTTTCGTTGACGTGTGCAATAACAAAGAAATTGATTTTTCCAGACGCTAAATGTGAGACAGTACAAAGAACAACTCTTAATATGAGTGAGAGAGAAATTCCAGTTCCACTAAGTGAAGATGAAAAGGAAGTGTTTTTTTACGCGGGCAACTCAAGTCACTTTGAAGTTACCGATGACAATGTCGTAACTAACGTAAGTAGTATTCCGCCACAACAACTGCTATCGGGGGATGAAAATGACAGTAGTCAAAGTTATAACGCGGAAATGTCGACATACAGAAAACTTCAAGATATTCGCCAAACAGAACTGGACAAAATGCATGAGACATGTATTGCCCTCATCGACAAGAGTCGGATTGTCGAAGAAGTTCTCAAACTGTACGAGGATGAAGCGTTGATTAGAAAGAGATTATCTGTGAGCTTTGTTGATGCCGTTGCAACTGGGAGTGGCCCTCAACGAGAAATGTTTTCTTTATTCTGGAATTCCTTTTTGTCCGAAAATGGCATTGGCTATAGTCAGTTTACCTTCCGTGTTCATCCGCACTTCCCACTGGAGCGTTATCCAATTTTGGGACGAATAATCACACATCAATTCCTTCTGTGTGGAACGTTTCCAATTCAGCTTGCTCGTGCGAGCTTCGAAGAAATTGTGACAGGCAGTGCTGGAAACGATCATGATTGCCTGATGCAATCATTCTTGTCACTCCTTCCTCCTGGTGAGGAACAATGTGGCGCGGCAGTCTCGTTATATAACAACCTTTAGCACTCATGTAGGTTTGTATCGCTACAAAAGACTAAACTATTGTACAAACGCTGCAGCGGAGATATTTCAGTACACACTCCAAACTGCACTGCAAGGGCTTAAAGGCGTCAAGAACATAGCTGATGATATCATTGTATTCGGCTCAACAAGAACTGAACATGACGCTAATCTTGACAAATGTCTACAACGACTTTCAATGAAGGGCTTACGACTAAACCGAAGCAAGTGTAATTTTCTTAGTACTACATTGTCATTTTTCGGACAGGTCTTTTCGAAAGATGGTACTCATCCTGACCCTAGGAGAGTAGCTGATCTATTAAATGCACCTCAGCCAAATAATGCACATGAAGTCCGGAGCTTTCTTGGCATGGCCAACTATAGTAGTAATTACATTCGAGATTTTGCAATACTAACTGCTCCCCTTCGTGACCTGACGAAAAAGGATGTTCGTTTTGAGTGGACTCAAACACACCAAACTGCTTTTGAAAAGCTGAAAAACACGCTTGCAATTGCTCCATGTATGTCATATTTCGACAAAAACAAACAAACTTTTGTAACAGTTGATGCTAGTCCTGTAGGAATTTCTGGAATTCTTTCTCAGAAACCAAGAAACGGTGACGTAGACAGTCAACAGATAATTGCATATGCCAGCCGAGCGCTGACTGATACAGAAAAGAGATACTCCCAGACGGAAAAAGAAGCGTTAGCGATAGTATGGGCAGTTGAACATTTCCATTTATTTCTATATGGAAGTGAATTTACACTAATAACTGACCATAAACCTTTAGAAATTATTTATGTTCAACGTACAGCCAAAACATCTGCACGAATTGAATGATGGGTGCTTCGCCTCCAACCATGCATATACATTTAAGATAATTTATAAATTAAATCAGGTGCCAGCAACCCTGCGGACTATCTTTCTCGTCATCCAACAAACGAAAGCAAACGAAAGCAAACGAAAACAGGAGAAGATGACGGAACAATATATTAATTTTATAACTCAGAACAGTGTCCCTAAGGCGATGACATTACAAGAAATAATCAATGCAACTAACGCAGACGCGGCACTGACGGCACTCCATGATGCAATTAAAACAAACAAATGGGATTCCCCAATTGTAAAACCGTTCAAAGCCGTAAAAAACGAACTTACGTCTATCACATACGGTGTTATATACTTCGAGGAACACAGATTGTCATTCCTGCGGCTCTACAACAACGTGCAATAGATATAGCACATGAGACACACTTGGGAATAGAGAAAACGACGTCCTTAATTCGTGAAAAAATCTGGTTGCCGCAAATTGACAACCAAGTCAAAAACACAATTGCTAAGTGCCCCACTTGTCAAGCTGCCGGACAGGCGAATCCTCCAGAACCATTACGTATGACCGAAATGCCAGAGGTACCATGGAGAACTGTCCACATAGATTTTTATGGTCCACTACCATCATCTGAATATCTTTTAGTGGCGGTAGATAGATACTCCAGATTCCCAGAGGTTGAGATCGTTCATTCAACTTGACAGAATGTTCTCAGTCCATGGCATTCCTGACACCATTATATCTGACAATGGTCCCCCTTTTAACGGAGACGAATATGCACGATATCTGAAAGCCCTTGGTATTCAAGCTACGTTTTCAACACCCTACTGGCCCCAAGGTAATGCTACAGTTGAACGATTTATGCGACCGTTAGGAAAAGCGCTCAAGACAGCGACACTCGAAGGACGACCATGGAAACAAGAATTGAACCGTTTTCTTTTACAATATCGTACCACTCCACATTGCACTACAGGAGTACCTCCATCAGAACTGTTGTTTAACCGAGTGATAAAAGGAAAATTACCAGTTATAAACAGCAAGAAGATTGTCGATCGACATAAAGAAGCTCGAGACAATGAGAAAACACGACAAGAACGCAACCGAGAATATGCAAATCAAAGGAGAAACACAAGAAAAAGTGATCTACAAGTTGGAGATTATGTACTGGTTAGACAAGAAAAGAAAAACAAACTAACTGCGAATTTTAATCACAAACCGTATAAAGTGATAAAGAAAACTGGTTCAGAGATACTTGCCCAAAGTAAAGATGGTCATATTGTGAAACGGAACGTGTCACATTTCAATCTAATAAATAAACCACGAGAAGAAGACACTGATGATGAAGGTTGTGATTATGAAGAAAACTCGCAGGACAATCAGCCATCCATCAGTAATGAAAACAACGAAGTACCAGGAAGATCAAGCCGAATTCGAAGACCACCGAATCGATACGGACATAGTGAATATCCGTCAAATCTAATAAACTAACATAACAATGAAATAGCTAAATAACTTCAAATTTAATTAAACACTTTGATATTTGACAATCAAGTTAAAACAAAGGGAATGGTATAGTAATGTACGTCTATTAATCGTTAACAAACGTATTACGATTAGTTTATATTTAGATTATGGACATTATATATTCAGTTGTTTACATGTAGCCGAGATATCAAGAAGTCTATTAAATATCAGAACATTATAGTAAACACAGCCCTTTGGTATTGAGGAATCTTTCGAGAAGGAGTGGTATAGAGGTTGCATGTATGGGGCCCTTGAGTCTTACACCAGATGTATAGCTTTCCAATTTTACAAATCTTTCAGCAACTGTGCAAACCCCAAATCTTGCTCTTAGCCTGATTTGTGAATAACTCTGCCTTAATTCCATGTAATTACTCCATGACCCCCCGTACCATTGACAGACACTAATGTTTGTAATTATTGAACATTATATAACTTAAAGTTTTAGTGTATTTAATAAATTTATGTATCTTGTTTACTTTCCTACCAACTCTTTTATATTCTTTATGCTCTAACAATTTCACTTGTATTTCCATGATTGATATTCAAAGTATATTTATGTGTACCTCTTTGTTGAGAAGGATAGACTATAAATCTCGTCACACACACTAGGCTCCATGCGTAGTTTATTTATTTCAGAAAGATAGCCATATTTTTTATGTACCATCATACTTATATAACTAACTTAGGCATTAAAATGCCTAAGTTAGTTATATAAGTATGATGGTACATAAAAAATACTGACCTTCGCTTGTTCTGCTTTTGTTGCCTTGTAAGTATTTGAGCTCAAACTAACTATTTGTTCCAATTTGTCTCGAAATACAGCTCTTCGCGTTGTTGTTTTAGCACAATTTTCCTCCTTTTAGCGTTTCTCGTGCCCAGACCTCGTCTGTGTTTCATTACACGAGCGCTATGATGCAAAATGCCGCCAATGTTGGTTATATCCTCAGCGGCTCCGCTCGTGTTCTAAGATCCGCCATGTAAAGTGTAGTGAAATGTATTTCAATACTAATCGTAATCACAGCCAACAGAAGCCTCTGCGGAGGAGAGAGTGTTATATCAATTTTCAGGTGACGTTGGTGTTGACAAAAACGTCGATTGCTTAAGTTCACTAATTTTACGCAATTCTCGCCACTTCCCCGCATAAAAGCCGTGTTGAAGATGGGTAAGCAGTGGTTAAGTTAAAAACGCAACGTTCCAGCACCTTTATAGAGTTAGACAAAACACAAAATTGGGGAATTGGTCAATAGTTTGGTTTTATTGTCGGACTTTCTTGAAAACAGGAGTAATATTTGCGAATTTCCAGTCGGAAGGCAACACATGCACCATGAGAAAGGGACATATTAAATAATCTTCACAGGGAAGGAGCTAACGCATTAGTAAATTCTTTCAGCAACTACCTGCATGGAATATCGTCTTGAAGGGTGTTTGTTGATGCAAGTTTGGAGTGTTTATTAGAAGGGCAAATATAGCCACGTTGTCTCAGTTTTAAAATGAAAGTGAAACTTTCAACTTCGCGAATAGGTCGTCTGAGTGTATTGTTTGTGTCAGATTATGTCTCAATATGATAAACAAATGAAATCTAGACATTTTTCCTGGCCCAAACTGTTTTTCAACAATTAATGTTTTTCAATAAATTACTAATTCTCCAACCTCGTCCCCATGGTCTTCCTCGTGGTGGCGCGTGAGCTGAGGAAGACCCTGGTAAAATACGATGAAATCTCCAAGATTCTTGGAGATTTATCGCATGCGCAGTAACGACAACGTTATGTTGCTGACTACAATTAGCGCTGGCGCTTACGATTTTCTTGCTTAAAAATATACATGTTTTGTTGATTGTTTATGGATTTATTCTCAAAGTTTAACAACTTTTACGAAAAATACTTCAGATATAAGCTGTGAACACACATGTACACAAAACTGTGCAACATTCATCATCATATTGTATCAATTTGTCGGAGTATGGCGCTCAAATTTGTGACATTGTTTTGTTCGCTTTGGCAACCCTCGTATATATCAGATGCTGTTCGGCCTCAAATGCGACTGAATAAACACTGATAGTGTTCATAGACCGGATTTTGTTGGGGGGTGCAGGGGGGTGCTACCCCAATATGAGCTATAACCCCCCCAAACAAAATGTCCACCCCTCCAAAAAAAATTTCAACCCCCCCTCCCCAATATTCGGCATAATAAAAAAAAATTAAATAATCCACTCCAACGTGCAGAGTGTTGATGATACAAAATAAACGTAGGAGTACACTCAAATAGAAAGCAATATTATTGGAGCAATTGTAAAGTTTTGAAACTCTATTATCTCCCCTGAATAGAGTTTGCAATGCCTTGTCATGCAAATAGCTTGCTTGCAAGGAACGTTTGGAATTTTTACAAACATTGTTTTTCGTTTTTAATTCTTTTAGGTTTGTAATTCGTTTTTAATTCTTTTTAATTTTTTAATTTGTTTATAACAGTAAAAGCATATTGTATATTGGCCTATTGGGTTTACACTTTTACAGGTTCATTTAACTTTAACTCTCTCAAGTCTCAACAGACAATCAGACGCAGGGCCGTAGCGAGGGGGTGTTGGGGGGGGGGGGTGGTTCACCCCCCAACTTTTGTAGAATTAACATATTTGGAAAATCGGGTTGGCCATTCGGAAAATTACGGCAATAATAGTATAACAAAATTTTAGTTGTTTAATTAAACAGGAAAAATATTATAATATTATAATCAGTATAAAATGATTTACGAAATCACGGCATTTACATGGATAACGTTTAACAAATCGTAAATCGGTAAATTTTTTTCGGTTTCAGTACTTCTCAGGGCCGTAGCAACCGGGAGGGGGGGAGGCAGCACCCTTACAATAATTTGCTGATAATCAGTCTTTTTTCAAAATCATGCACACCTTTATCATTTAAACAATTGATTAATTTTAAGCGGCTACATTATCCATGACAAACCGCAAAGAATAATATATATCCTGCAACTTCTCCAATATATAGCTAAATACGACTTCGCCCATTTAATTCTGCTAAATTGTAAGCAAATTGTAAATTTCGACATACTAAAACTCTATTAACAACTCAAACCGACTTTACCACGTAGCTCAGTTGGCAGAGCATTGGACTAGCATCCCAAAGGTCGCGGGTTTGATTTCCACCGTGGGCAAGCTAACTTTTCAGCTTGCCCGGTGTGGATCAGTGGATGCATACTCAGAGTAACATCACAAACATCATATTCACTTGAGTACACAACACCAACACACACACAAAAATCATATCATAGATTACACTGATGTCGAAGGAACTAGATTCAGTTCCGAAATATCAACAAGTCGAACCGACTTGACCACGTAGCTCAGGTGGGAGAGCATTGGACTAGTATCCCAAAGGTCGCAGGTTCGACTCCCACCGTGGCCAGGCACACTTTTCAGCTTGCATATTAAAACTCTGTTTTCTGACCATCAGAATTCTGTCAAAACTTCCCCCAAAGTCCAGGAAATGGCATTTCAGAGAATCTAAATTAAAAAATTTCCTCGGGCCTTCGGCCCTCGTTCCCAGCCCCCAATCAAAAAGAGCTTCCTACGGCACTGCATACTTCTGTAATATGTCTTTGTGGAAACTATGTGGGCTATGTGTATTTTTGTTTGTAAATTGCGTCTTCATTTTCCAGATAGCAAACACCTTCGTTGCTTCGTATGCCATGAAATATTCGGAAATTTTTTTCGTCATTCGGAAATATTTGGCCTACACCCCCCACCCCCCAACTATACATGCTAGCTACGGCCCTGATCGGACAGGCCAAATCCATTGATATGACAACTTCAAAAAACGTTTTTTCGAAGCTAGAAATCATGATTTTTTTCAAATTTTTCCAGGGATACTTTGTTTTCTGCTCTCTAGACTCCCCCTCGCGGCTCTAGTGCTCCACCCCTAGAATATAGACCTTACTGGGGTTTGGTGACACTTTGTGTTGCTTCAGTCACCTGCTCACGGCTCACCCCCCTAAAATTTCTGGCACCACCCCAGTAAAAAATATGAAAATCCGTCTATGATAGTGTTGCCTGGAATATGAAATGATATTGAATGATTGTTCTTTATATCAAGGTATGTAATGTACATTTATACTGAATTTATTCGATTTTTTTCACACGTTGCTTTCACATTTCCTCAGGGTCTCGGAAGTCACATTTTCTAATGAACTCAGTTTCACACATACAGCAAGACTTCATTTCAAATTATAATAACAGTACGTAGTAGAAATGCTTAGAAAGATTTTATTCTGTTTTCCATATGCAGTGTACAACTGTTATTTCAATTTTCTCTTTCCTATATTTTCTTTAAAGCAGGTACTGTTCTGTTACAAAACAACTAATAAACATTTTATTATTTTAAAAGGTGAACCATATTTTACATGAACTTGGGGAAAAAAACAACTTGAATTCCATGGAAATATATATAATCATGTCATCAATCAGATAGTAAACAATCATTAAGATGGCCTCTATATTATATTTCACAGTGACCAACATGAAAATTTTTAAATGGGAATTAGTTGATGGCATTATAGTTTTCTAATGCTATATAATTTTGTTCATCAAGGTGAAGAAACCTTAACTCACTATACCTTTTCCTGTTACAGAGCTATGGTAGTAATCTTAGAAGATTTTCATGATCCCTCTATTCAGTAGTTCTTTAACCAGTCTAGTATTATGACTGTATTATGTTAAATAGCCTTGTGTGACTTTTGTATTTTGTTTCTTTAATAATACATTTACAATAGTCAAAATTACAGTTTAATATTTGTATTTCTAATGATAATTACTTTCACATATCCATCACACCTGTCTGTTACTATTAAACTTATTACTATCATGCAAGTAAAATCTCTTGGGAAAAATAAATGTTGTCCCAGGATGGTCATAAATATCAGCTAGTAAAACTAATGAATATACCTATAATCATGTACATATGACTATCATATAATATGTTGTAATTCCTTTAAGTGTTTCCAATTAAATAAATTTCTATTTTCAGTTGTTCATTGTTCAAACTAATTTGAAACCTACAGTATATGTAGTTGCTATGATTCAGATTAATATCCAAAAGTGTGCCTTTTACTTCAGTTAGACTCCTCCCTAAAACAGACACTTTATTGTGCCACTCCAATGTTCATTCAAAGTGATCCAACTGACATCTGAGCTGGTGATAATATACAGTGGCGTAGCCAGCCCGACAATTTGGTCATGCTATGCAAATATTTCCGTGTTCATAAACCGTGAAAACAATCAATTTCTAAAGAAATGAATAATGATAATAATTTGAAATTTGCATAGCATAACCAAATTGTCGGGCTGGCTACGCCACTGATAAAATACAGCAAAGTATTGGAAGTAGGAGTATATCAGATAAGTTGTTCATTCAGTCAAGACCTTCAGGTTGTGCAGATCATCATATCAAACTCCATCACATATTGTGCCTTAAAAACATATATACAAATTTTAAAAGTTGTTGCAGCACACTGGGCCATTCCATCTAATATAGCCCCCCCCCCACACACACACACACACACACCCTATTGAGGGGTTTCTTCATAATACCTTTTAATAATTTTGGAACCCCATTGGATGCAATTTTGGAACCCCTATGGATGTCTTTCTACCCCTTTAGGATATTGTTCCTGCCCCTTACACCTAATTTTTAGGAAATCTCTTAAGCTACCCTCCAGAAAAATGTAAGGTAAAAACCCCCTCTATAAAATCCTCATATAGGATATCCAGACCTCAATAGACAATAGGGGGGGGGGGCTATTAAATGGAATGGCCTATTTGACTTGGTGAGTGGTGACTACCACCAAAGGAAAATGAAACATGCTGGCCTGCTTTACATACAGAATAAATTTTGAAGCATTTCTACTGTTACCCATAGTGGAAAGTTGGGCACTTTAACGGGAGATCTCCCGCGACAGGCAAAGGTAAAAACTGCTGATGCGGCAAAATCTTGCGGCAGAAAAACTGTAAATTGATATTGCGGCAGAATTCTGCGGCAGAAATAGTTTAGAAAATACATGCGGCACAATTTGGGTGACATGCCATTGCTGTGTTGTATCAACACATCTTAAGATGATTAATCATTCGAAAAAAAGCTGTGTTGATTTTAATAGCACGTCTTTTTGTATCTGCGAAGCAGATATATTGCTATCGCAAACGTGACCGTACCGTAATGTTACCGTATGTTAGCACATAGCCATTCAGCGACGCGCTTATATAATTTAAGCCAATTTAAGCCAATCAGCGATTCGTTTACATCGATTGTTTACATCTTGCCCGCATCTAACCTGCGAACGGGCATACTTTAGCCTCGTCAGGCATCGTGTATAAATCGTGTTTATTCTTTCAAAAATATCTTGATATTTTTATCAATTTATCTTGAATTGGCTGTCTTGTTTTCTGACTTTTCTCGCCATTCTACTTGCGATATTATTCCGAAGTTATTTATCAACATGGAATCTTATCCTCATCTGGTAAGTAGTCAAATACCACATATTATACATTTAAATACCAAATTTGTGCAAATATATGTCCCACATATATTTTTATAATACATGAGTTCGCCAGTTCGGCAAATATTTACTATACAATCTATAGTTAATATTGCCGTATCTTCGGCGTAGAGTTTACATGGAATGCACTCTGGAATTTTTTTATTAATATATTACACTGTATAAAATATTGGATATTTTCGAGGATATTTTAAGCCATTTGTCAACAGAGTTCACAAAAAGATTTATACAGTATTAAAAACAATCCTTCTGTGACTTCTGTAATATTTTAAACAGTGAAAACATAGCAGGCAATATTGCCAATTAACAATATCAAAGGAACCTATTGGACAGTTCTCAGGAGATATTGAATTAAATCCTGGTCCTGTATTTCTGTATATTGACTCTGTGACTCTGTTCAAAACAACAGTCCAACTATAAAGCTGTCATCAAATGTAGTGTTAGAGCAAAGGTTGAAGATGTTATCAGTTAAAATACTTATACATTTTGGTTTTACACATTAGAGTTAATTAAACAAAATTTTTACAAACATTTTCAAATAGAAGAATCCTCACCCTCCCGAGCCTCATTACATTGTCATTTTGCTTTCTAGCATAAATATTTTTCTTTAGAGCCAGAATGAAGAATAAATGTACTGGATATTGGCTGGATAATTTTGTCAGAACAACCAACTTGCAAGGCAATCATACCTAAATTCATTAGTATGGAAAATAACTTAACAGCTACAATGAATAATCATATATTATATGGTGGATTTGATCAATGGCACACAATGTACAAAACTAAACTTGTGATACCTTCTACTCAAACCGATAATCTCCCACAACATGATTGTTTTTGTGTGAATGTGCTGTACGTGTTAAACCGAACAGTGTGGTATATCATTAACTATTCAGTGGTCTTCGACATGTTCACCAAATATTTTGTGTATGTTACTCAACAGTTAACGTTGGCAAGTGTAAACAACAAGTGACATAACTTTTGCTTCATATGATTACAATAAAGTTTTGAAAATTTGATGAGTATGGATTGACTTGACAGGTGACAGTTTACTAAATAGCCGGCTGTATAGACACTTTGAATATTGTTTGCATGAAATTTTTATTTCCTGACTGCATAATTATCTGTTATAATCATAATCACATTATAAAGTTGGTTAAATTTTCTCGGTGCGGGCGGGAGCACTTGCCCTGCCGCCCTCCCCACTGTGTACAGCCCTGTTTTAAATCTTATCTGCTATTATAATAAGTGATGGAATATTTCAATTGTCCCATGTCATCTCATTATTCAGTTTCCTTCAAGAAAATACAAAATGTGAATCAAGTTTTTTCGCAGATACATGTACGCGTCGCGTACCTATTTTTTAAGAGTGAAGGCTTCAATGTTTACTGTTTAGTGGTCAGCAGTATTGCGTGTAGTCGTTTGATTTTTTACCTGCGGCAGTATATTATTGGCATTGCGGCAGGATAGAATGCATGGTCTTGTCAACTGCGGCAGTCTCCTGCGGCAGCCAAAGCGTACTTTCCACTATGGACTGTTACTTGTAACGATAATCACATTTGATGAGAAAATATGGAGTCTTTCTGTATGTTAGTGATGTGATCTCATTGTTCATAAAGCTGAAATAGTTTGAAACTCGTGTGAAAATAAATCCAGTATAAATGTACAGTACGTACCTTGATATACAGAACAATCAGTCAATATCATTTCATATTCCAGGCAACACTATCAGTGTTTATTCAGTCGCATTTGAGGCCGAACAGCATCTGATATATACGAGGGTTGCAAAAGCGAACAAAACAATGTCACAAATTTGAGCGCCATACTCCGACAAATTGATACAATATGATGATGAATGTTGCACAGTTTTGTGTACATGTGTGTTCACAGCTTATATCTGAAGTATTTTTCGTAAAAGTTGTTAAAACTTTGAGAATAAATCCATAAACAATCAACAAAACATGTATATTTTTAAGCAAGAAAATCGTAAGCGCCAGCGCTAATTGTAGTCAGCAACATAACGTTGTCGTTACTGCGCATGCGATAAATCTCCAAGAATCTTGGAGATTTCATCGTATTTTACCATAGGCCGTGGGATGAGCATCCAAAAGATGCAATTCCGTTGCACCCCTCGTGGAACTACGTAATTTTCACATGAATAAATAGATAAAAACTTACTTTATCAGAATCCGTTGCTCCCCAAGTGAAACAGGTGCACAATTGGGAGAAAAATCCCTCCAAAGTTTGATATTTTCACGCTTCGAAATATTCGAACCGCCATTATTTTGGTAGCAAATACGCATGCGCAACTCAGTCAAACTCGCACTGCGCACGCGCAAACTATAAAAATAGATTCCCACTGGGGGGTTTCCCCGATTTCCTCCGCAAAAACAACAAAATAAAATCACAGAATACTGATCAAACCTTGTAATATAAATACACCCACATTAAATATTGTTAAAAACACATTGTATATTTTACTTGCTCATATGCTAAATCACTTCAATTCATTGGCTATTGTTTCAAAATACCGTTTTAACGTTTAATTCTACTTTATATTAACATCCTAATTCAATACAAATTTGTGCGAGGTAAAAAACCCACCTGTATCAAACAGGACGGAGAATAAAAAATATATATGCATACAATTCACACGATCAAGGAACAATTAAAATGAAATATTTGTGAAACACTCTTTATCCGTTTGCCGACGCTGATAAGACAATATGACATACCGAAAGATTGGAAAGACAAATAATATGATAACAGTGTTTCCAAGTTTCTGGTAAAGTTCTACTTCTCGTATTTGAACTATTTCATGTATTATATTTATATTGTGACATAAGTTGGTATTTAGCCACTATCTAGAATAACAAGGAACGATTCAGCCTGGTTTTTCGTGTCCACACTAGTTGACTTTTTCTTATAGATTTGCTGCTGTGAGTTTCAGCTCCTCCACCAGGGTGCGTTTTAGCTTCTCAGACATGACTATACTGTTAACCCTGTCCATGAGAGGGATATATGTGTTCATAATATAAATACTGTGGATCCGAATGAGAATATCGAATAAGTAAATAAATACTGATCTACTCCACTGATAATACCTACATGCATTACCATCATTGTTCACCTCAAATCATTAATAATTCATGAGCAAATTAGCCAACCATATTGCTTTATTTTGCTCACATGATAATACTGGATACTTTATGAAGTATATTGATCCTAGGACTGGATAAAAATTAATTAAGTAGTGATTTATTCGTGATGTCATTTCAAATCCTCCAATTCGGACTGGACTAGATTTCAAGTCCTCACATTTTGATCCAGTCCTCTGCTTCGCCTCGGACGTGATCAAATTGCGTGTACTTGAAATCTAGTCCAGTCCTCATAGTCGGATTTGAAATATTATCCATTGTCAAATCAGATGCCAATGGTGGCCAAAGAAGATTCAGTTTTAGTATTTCTTGCACCTTTTGGTGAAGAATGAATACAGCATTGTATAGAAGTTGTAACTCATTGACTTTAGAATTTCCCTCAGTTTCTGTGTTGGAATTCACATCATCATCATCATCAATCGTACAGCTCTCTTCATCAAAGTCCTCATCATTGTTTTCAGACTTAGGGCCTAGCTGTTTATATGGAAGCCGGGCTGGCCTGATAAGCGAGACAGCCTGGTAAGCAAGATCTCGCTGTGTAGTTATTTTATAGTAAAAATTATCATGCGTTTATATGGACAAGCAGGCTGGCCCTGGTTACCGAGATCTCGTTTGAAAGAGGCTAGATCTCGCTTACCGGGATGGAAATTTCTCCATATAAACATTTACAAGCGGGCTATCCTGGTTGCCAGGATGAAAGTTCAAAGATACCAAGCGGGCTATCCTGGTTGCCAGGATGAAAGTTCAAAGATACCGCCGCAAGCTATTTTTAACAACTGTCAAAACAATACAATGTAACAAAATTGTTCTGGCAAGCGGGATGAAAGTTTCTCATATAAACACAAGGGAAATTCATCCCGCTTACCGGCCTGTCTTGCTAAGCGGGCCATTCCGGCTTCCATATAAACAGGCCATTAATTGACATATGTTCCTCAACCAATTCAGAAGAATCCAAATTTTCCACATATACAATCTCCCTAACATTTCTCATTTTCGGTACACAGAACACAAGTTGGGGATAACTTTTCATCAGTCGTTGCTTGAGTTTAAAAGCTCTATATTTAGATGCATCCACATTCTCAGTGTCCTTAGCAATGAGAACAAATTTCTCCAGCAAATCTTTCATATACTTTATTTGCTTATTTCTGATGACCTCCATCTCAATTACTTTCTTACAGAAATATACATCATAAGACTTCTTGTACACTGATGCTCTCGTTGCTTCTTCGTCTCTCTGGTGAGAAATATTGTATAATTGCAGTAGCAAACTTTGTGATAGCGGATTTCCAGAGCTACACAGTTTTTCCCCTGGATTTGCACGAGTATCTGTTGATCATTCTTTCTCTCTGCAGCTGTACGTAGAAGCATCAATTGTTTTTGCCAACATGAGTGGGGTTCTTCTTCTCTTCTTAGTTACCTGGTGTGAAACAAAATAAATTATTAAACTAAATATCAGCTAATAACAAGGTTGGATGTTTGTAGCATAGAAACTACTTTACCCTAAATAAATTTAATTGATCGCAATTCAATATATTTTAAAACCAAACCTGAGAATGTTGTGCACATTGCGCTAGTATTATACCTATCAAAATGACCATACCTTGTCCAGTGAGAACCACGAGGCGTCTCTTCCACAAATATAACATATCTCTGGGAGTACATGCGCGTTTCTTTTAGCTTTTTCTTCTTTTCTCTGTTATCTTCGGGTCATCGCAAAATCTCTTCTAGCATTTCATATGATGGTTCCATTCTAAGTTAATGGTGTCAGAGTTCTTCTCGATGTATGAATTGACAGATCCGTCATCGATGTTCTCGTACGATTTCTTAGCTATTTCAGCTTGTTGACACTTAAGTTTGGCCCATTTTGACCTACACTCAAGAAATTTCTTAAGCCTTTGGCGTGTAACTTTGCGAAGTTGCTCCGTAACGCCATCAAAATGCATAAAACATGAGGATATTCGAGTTTTATAAATATCTTCAGCCATGTTTTAATATTTGGATAACTGAGCGTGATGTGCGTTGGTTGTGCGCGTGCGCAGTGCGAGTTTGGCTGAGTTGCGCATGCGTATTTGCTATCAAAACAATGGCGGTTCGAATATTTCGAAGCGCGAAAATATGTATGTAATGTAAAACTTTATTTCAATACGCTAACTTCGACAATTATTTACAACTGGTTTCCACGAAGGGCGTATACACACAAAGAGCTAAATGTTAATTATATATAAAACAAAGTATGTAAGAATCCCACCCTAAAATTTTATCATCTTCCTCCCAAACCTCCACCCCCTAAACAAGTACCCACCCACCCTCACGCAAAACTAACCCCCCTCCCGCCCACAATCTATATTGTCCTCCCATCATTTTGTCCTGGAGAAATTAGCTTATCATCTGCTTAAATGCAATTTCGCCATTGTTTTAAATGACGTAATTGACTCAGCCGCCTTGACATCTTGCGGGAGACTATTCCATAGAATTGCTCCACTGTATCCAAATGTTTTCTTTAGAAATTCCGTTTTCGGTTTCTTTAACGAGAGATCAGTTTCGCTATTGCGTAAATCATAAATATTCTGCGATGCATTTCTCCGAGAAAAAAGATCTTTAAGGTTTGGCGCAGTGTGGTTCCCCAAGACTTTATACATCAATACTAGCTTGTTTTGTTCTCGTCTTTTAGCCAGAGTTTCCCAGCCTAATTTGTTTAGGACTTCAGACGATCTTACATCGTAGTCAGCTCCGGTAATCACCCTTGCTGCTCGATTTTGGAATTTTTGCAATTTGTCTTGAAGTCCCAAACCACAGTTATCCCACAGGGGAGAACAGTAATCAAAATGAGGCTGAATTAATGTTTTGTAGACATCATGTAAGGTTTTGTGTGGAACATAAGGTTTTATTCTTGTAATTGCTCCTATTCCAGCGCTAATCTTATGGCATACAGAATCAATATGTTTCTCCCAACTTAATTTTTCATCTAGATTTACACCTAGACATTTAAATGTATTGGTTTGTGGGACTGGGATTTTGTTAATCTCAACGGGTCTATTTCCTATTTTATGATTTAGATTATGCGTAGATCCAATAAACATGACTTTTGTTTTTTTCCTATGATATTTTAGTTTGTTTTTAGCAAGCCATTTATGAATACTAGAAAGGTCCATATTCAAATTGTCAATCAATGTATCGTAATCATGCGAAGAGGAAGATATCTGAGTGTCGTCGGCATAAAGACATGGGGTTGTCCTTTCTAAAATATCAGGCATATCATTAATATATAGCAAAAACAATAATGGACCAAGTATGGATCCTTGCGGAATTCCGCATATTATTGTTCTTGCAGAAGAAGTTTGATCATTAACAGAACACACTTGCTTTCTATTCCTTAAGTATGATTGGAACCATTTTAACTCAATGTCGTGAATTCCAAACTGGGTTTTAAGCTTCTCCAATAATATCTCGTGATTCACCGAGTCAAATGCTTTACATATATCAAGAAAAACAACTCCATTTATTTTGCCTTCATCCATGTCTTGTAGCCATTGATCACACATTTGTATAAGAGCACCTAAGGTTCCATGTTTTGGTCTAAACCCGGATTGAAATTTAGACAGAAGCACATGTTTATTCAAAAAGCTATATATTTGAGTAAAAACTTCCCCTTCAAATATTTTACTTATTATGGGAAGAATTGAAATTGGTCTATAATTTTCGCATTTACGCTTATCCTCAGATTTGTAAATTGGTATAACTCTAGCCAATTTCCACTCATCTATATAAATACCAGTTCTAATCGATAGGTTAAATATAAAAGTTATAGATGGAGCAATAAGGGTTGATGTCAGTTTTAAAATATTCGCAGGTATTCCATCCATACCTGTCGCTTTTGAGACATTTAGTTTTTGTAGGCGTTTGGAAACACTATCTATAGTAATATCTGCGAAGTGAAAATTTTCTTTAGGAAGAAGCACAGTACTTTCATAAATTACTTGATCATTTAAAACATCAGTGCTTTGACATGCTGATTCAGCAGCCATCTTCATTCCAATATTTATAAAATATTCATTTAATGTTTCAGTAATAGATTTATCATCAGAAATAATATCATCATTTACTTTCAGTTCATTAATATTTGCATTCTTATGCTTTCTTCCTAAGAGCGAATTTATCCAAGCCCATCCACTTTTACTGTCTCCCATTTGAGAGCTTGCCTGGATTTTATCACAAAAGTACTTAGATTTTGCTTTCCGCATGTTTATATTTACTTCATTACGTAGTGTTTTATACAATTCCCACTGTGACTCCGAATCATATTTTATGGCCTTTTTTTTGTGATAGTCCCTTTTTCTCATAAGTTCTTTAATTTGAGGATTAATCCATGGGACAGGGTTATTCCTTATTCGCTTGTGGCGCAGAGGGGCATGTCTATTAAGTGCATCTAATAATAGTGATTTCCAGACTTGCCAACATAAATTGGGATCGGAGGGATTTTTGGAGGGATTTTTCTCCCAATTGTGCACCTGTTTCGCTTGGGGAGCAACGGATTCTGATAAAGTAAGTTTTTATCTATTTATTCATGTGAAAATTACGTAGTTCCACGAGGGGTGCAACGGAATCCGTTTTCTAAGCATCTTTTGGATGCTCATCCCACGGCCTACCAGGGTCTTCCTCAGCTCACGCGCCACCACGAGGAAGACCCTGGGGACAAGCCAGGAATTCTGGCTAAGATTGAACTGCGCATTCCATTTCAACGGCCAATCAAATTCCTCCCTGAAACGGATTATCCCAGAGCCTCGCGTTCCTTCCCGAGGATCGCAGGCTCGGGGAACGAGATTGCTCTAACGCATGACCTCTCCTTTGCGTTTCAGAATTAGCAGTTGACGTCTTGAATACTACCCTGGGTGCCAGAGGTTCTTCCACGCTCGTAAGGGAATTTATCCCTCATTATCCCCCTACGAGCGTGGAAGAATCTCTGACACCCAGGGTACTTGAATACTTTTGGAAGCAGAAATTTGTAATTTGTAAACCATTGTTATTGCTTGATTAGATCCATGAAAGGGCGAACTATGGCCGTATGCTTCTGCTGGAATTTCCCTCTGCACGATTTTTCTTTGCGCGAATTATTTTTTGTCCCATCCCTAAGGAGTACACGCACAGTTCCACTGATTGACAGAAGTAAAAATAGTACAACTAATCATCAATTCATGTTCACTTAATTGTGAACGGGAATTTCAAACACATAGCCAAGCCTCCTTCGCGGCGGGCTGACCGCCTGCCACGCAGGCTACACGGCTAAAAACGGACAGGTTGTTCCAAGTTGATATCGACAGGCGTGAACAATGTTGTGCTGCCAACTATGACCAAGTTGTCAACCATGTTGTTCCAAGTTGAACAATGCTGAAAAGGTATTGAAAAAAATTGGATCTGGCATTGCAATGTTGCAAAGGGCTAAAAATTTCATTCCCGTAAGTTCACTCCAAATGATTTATAATGCCTTGATTCAACCTTATTTTGATTACTGTTCTCCACTATGGGACATTTGCCGCACACAACTGCTTGATAAACTTTCGAAATTTCAAAATCGTACGGCAAGAATAATTACTCGGGCGCAAGTTACGAAATTGAATCTGCTGTTGTTCTTGAAACTCTTGGTTGGGAAACTTTAAAAAGTAGAAGACAGAAGATGAAGTCCACTCTTCTGTATAAAATTTCAAACGATTATACTGCTCCTAACTTGAAAGAGTCACTGACTGGGAGTAGTTAAACGCAAGCGAATTATAATTTAAGAAATAGCTATACTGATTTAGCTCTCCCAAAACCGAGAAGGGAATTCCTAAAAAAACGTTTTAAATACAGCGTGGCAAAGCTTTGGAATAGCCTTTCTCGAGAAGCAAAAGAAGCACAATCAATCCATAATTTCAAACAAAATATTATTCTTTGACTCTGTTACTAATGTTAATGTATGGGTCACACCTCCTGCCAATCAGCATGCACTTTTCTAAATAGTTTTTCTTTATTTCTGCTTATTCTCTTGTAAATATTATTTAATGATAATACTTTGTATATAAATTGACGACGCCCCTCATGAAAACCAACTTATGTTGATGAGGCTAGCGTCTTGAAATAATTTTTTATGATACGATACGTTGATTTTTCTAAATCCACGTCACTACAATTTAGGTAACTACGTTTTATTTAAAGCACAAACAATATAACAATGGCCAATTCCAGCTTTTAATTTATGCGCGCAGGGGAGATGGGAAGTTGAAAAATTTAAATAAAAACTGCCGAATTGTAAAGCTATCACTCCTAAGCTATCACTCCGTGTTTACACGGCCGTCATTTTTTGAGCATAATCAGCAATGTGTTACCTTACTTCCTATCCTCCTCTGCGCGCATAAATTAAAAGCTGAATTGCCTATTATAGTTTATCAATGATTTCCATTCGTCCAACAAGCAAACTAAATTTTCATTCACGTTTTTCATTTGTCAATGACATGATTCTTCGCATGGGATCCGAATGTTTATTAAACGTGTTGGTATAGAAACACAGCTATAAATAAAGTTACAGGTATCTAATTAGTTATTTCAAAGTGAAATTATTTGTAGAGTTTTACGGATAATCTTACGCGGCAGCTTTCGATATTATTTTATAAATTTCA